ATTAAATATATTGAAATTCATTTTGAAAGATTTTTCTCACAAGAACATATGTGAACAACAAGAAATTTAACAAACAAACCCATAATTTGCTTTTAAATTTTATGGATTGTTGGTATATTCCACTTTCGCACTTTCGTTGCTGCCGATACACAAAAAAATTCTGTTTCGCTTTTTAGTCATCCCGAGAATCATCACGTGACCGTTGTTTTTATTCAGATTTGCAAACTGAAAGGTGTTTAAACGCTTTTCCCACAAAATTGGAGAAAATATGTCTTTCAAACGATTTGCCAATCCAAAGAACACATATCAATGTATCACTGATTTTGTTTGAATGTCCCTAACACGCAGGTAACAAAAAATTATCGGTTCGTGAAATTTTACTTTTTTTTGTGACATTCGGCCGTACCTCAGTGGAGTACCTTTAAGAATTCATGTTAAAAAATTAAAACGGATTAAAATCAATAAATGTATTTTCAATGCCGTAAAACACACTACAAATAAAATTATGTTCCTTTAAAATATACTGCAAAAATAAAGAAAGAGTATTAGTGGCAACAGTAAGGATCGAACCACAGACCTCTCAATTATCAGGCATTCTCTTTACCGTCTGTGCTATCGTGAATTAACGAAAACCTTCACATTAAACTGGTGTGACTTTCAATCCATGACTTATATACTCCACATTAATTCTCGTAAACTACACGGACCAAACCGAAGTGGGATCAAATATTTAAATGAGTCCTGTAATGTATTCATAATTGACAGGTCAATAAAATCAGACTATAGTAGTAGTTTTCTTGTTTCAAAACTGTAAAATTGGTGGTGTTAAAGGTGTGTTGTCTGTAAAGGCCAAAAATTTAACCACACCAAAAATATGTGCCTGATAATTATGAAGTTTTGGTTGTTGTTATTTTAAAAAAAAGATCTCAATTTTTTTTTTTAAATTAACATTATTTTTTTTATATGCCGGAAACTTTTCATGTCAATCAATCTGTCTTTAAACTAGCTGTTACTTTTTCATAAATACTGTAACAAGTTATTTCAAACATATTAAGTTTGCTACAAATTTTTTTTTAAAAAAGGTTTAAGTTGCTGGTGTTAAAAAGGCAACAATATCACCTTGTTTTTTAATCAAACCTGTGATAAAATTTGAAATCAGCAACATTCATTTATAATACATACATCAAGATTGGACATGAATACTGGGAATATCTGTAATCATAATTAAATTTAAATGCTCAATACACTCCTGTTGCTATCCCGCGATTTAAACTTGTGCTTTTAAAACAAACGTGAACTCTGTATATTGAGACCTTATCAATAAAGATAACGGCCTGTAACTATGGGTAAATTGATTATTTAAATAACTCAGCTAACAAAAAGACTGAATTTTCCATCCATTGCCGTCGACTATATTACAGGAATAATTTATAACCGACTACTTGCCAGTTATTAATTGATTATTCCTTTGCAATGTGTTTTGACTGATCAATAATATTTTGTAATGATTTTGATTACGCTTTTCAAAAATTTCTATATTTACAAAGGAACGATATGTGACATTACAAGCCGCATATCAACCGTGACATTGTGCGACAAACCTGTCCTAATTTACATAGCAATTGCAGAGCCTGAAGTCTATTCATTATGTCAATGCATGTGGTAAATGTGTAATATGGATTTTCATTCTACAGATATTGCCTAATGAAACACATCAAAGCTATTGGTATTTCTTTCTTGAAAATTAAACGCAACAACATAGAGATGTGACATATGTAGACTTCAATAATACACGAGACAAATGCCATGATCTGCTGTTATTGTTTTCAGCCGACAATCTCAAGTTACATCTCCTAGCTTAACATCCTAACAGCTTTTTCACATATCAATACAGTAACCTACTGTATTACAATAAAATGATGCAGCCTACATCACAATAAAATCATAGCAAAAACAAAGAGATAACTTTCAAGTTGACATGAAACAAGAGCTGCTGTCAGTAGGACAGCCTGCTTGACTATATTCAGTGCTTGGCATGGATAATGTAGAAATTTCTATCTTCAAAAAATGCTATAAATCCGTCAAAATCCATGTTAGAGTTATGGACCTTCGATGGCAGCCTATTATGCTCTGAAATCATGTGTGAAGCATTCCCTTCAATAGTTTTTTGAGATACCAACTCCCATGCAAATAATTAACCAAAGTTAAAGTGACTACCTCTCCCTAGTCTTCAAAAAGTCCAGCTAAAAACGAAATGAGTCACAAGATTTTAGAAAAGAACACAAAACGAAAACAACTACCAGTACATGAGCTGTATCATAACAAAATGGTACATACAAAACTGAGATTAAATAAAGGTAAAGTTACTAAAAAAAGGACCTGCACAAGTTACATCATCAATACCTAGAATCTTCTACACTTCTGATATTAAATTTTCAACATCAAATTATCAATTCATTCAAATATAACTTTTGAAATGGTTCACATTTATAAGCTCCCTTTAAGGGAATCTGTGTAAAACAACCGATGTTTTCTTACATTATGAATCATGTTCCTGACGGCAAGAAGTTTCAAGTCAACAACCTAAACCACTCGGCAAGTCTGATAAAAATATTCCAGAATACTAATATTTATAAGACTTGTGAAGCAAACTTTGTGTTATCAATACTTATATGAATTCTTAATTTCAATACTATCAATTGATGTCATCTTCTTCACCTATAGAGCCAAAAGTGATTAATTAACCTTTCCCAGCCTGCACTTCAGAGATTTCTTACAAGGTTCTACAGTATTGGTAGAAAAGGCTTCAATTTTTCACCGTTATATCCAAAATTGATGATTTCAAAAAGGGAAGCCAGACAACTGTATTAGAAACAATGATTTACTATTTTAGAAATTCAGCAGGTAAAGCATTTTTCTGAACAAGGTTGATACAGCATGTGCCTTTCCCATAATAAAGTTTAAAATTTAAAGCAATTAAGATACTGTACCTGGCTTCATTTCATCACTCGATTCATCCTCACTCTGGAACTCGTACATATCTGTTTTCTTTACCCTTTTTACATGTTCCTTAAATTCTTGCAGATCATTAGTTGAGGTTGTTGCAGACTGACTGTTACAATGGTTTTGATTGGTCGAAACTATGGAGGCTGGACTGATGTCAGTCTCTGATGGCATGTGTTTAGTGTCTGTTAATTTAACACTATTTTCAGAAGTTAATTCAGAGTTTTTATGTGATTTTTCCAATGATCGTTTTTCTCTCATCTCTTCGTTTTCACAACTGTTATTTACCACATGTGTAGGCCTCTCTGTAGAGTCTTTTGTAAAAGAATTATCATGATTAGTGTCTTTGTGACCTTCCACCGTTGTAGATTGTTCAGAAGTATTATTTAAAGAATCTGAACTTGCTGTTGCTAAATTCTTCACATCTACGTCAGCTTTACTAATACTGTCAGTTGTCACTTCACTTTTCGATACAGAATGGCTGTTCAATGAAGATGTTTTTGGAGATACGAGATCATCAGGTAAAAGTTCAGGATGTTTTTTCTTCATGTGAAACCTGATTGAGTTTTTCTGTCTGCACGTGTACTCACAATGTTCGCATTTCAAGGGTTTCTCGTCGGTGTGCACGAGCAAATGGACTTTCAGTGAATCAGCTGTCCTGAATGCCTTTGTACATGTAATAAACGTGCAAAAATGGGTTCTGTTGTCTGAAAATAAAAAATAATAGAACTTTATGTTAATACAAATGTATAATAAAGAAATTGTATGCAAGATCAAAATGCTTGACCGTATTATATAAAACTTTGTTCATAAAATACAGCTTACATCCGAGCTATCTTGAGACCATACATGCATCTTTTATCAGTTTTTAACCCATATTTTTCTTCTTCCCATTCTTTAAATCAAAGTAAAATTATATAATATTGTGAGACCATTCATATTCGGAAGTTATGCATTTCATTTATCTATACACATGTACATGTATACATAAATATCATTCTTTTTTATGAAAAATTGTAACTACTGTTTGTGTTAGTGTAAAATGTATTGTACAAATGTAGCATCAACCTTAAAAGTAAAGTGCATGCCCCCATGCAGATCTAAATCGTAAAATTCAAATAGTCCGAAGATAAAAATCTTAGAAAATAGTTCCCTGAAGCACTATAATGAATTAATGATGGTACATCTTTTTTTTATCCTTGGTATTACAACATGTTGTTGACAACAGCTGCTTTAAGATTTAGATTCACATATTGATTAGACTAAAAAATATAATTTCATATGTTCAACAAGGATATCGTTGGAAACAAATGGATGCTTCCCAACTTGATAGTACACAAGTGTAAGAAAGGTGTAGAGGAAAAACTGTAATAAAGTTTAAAAGCTATTTGGAAAGTTAACTTGGAAGAGTTATGGTTCTTACACACTTAAAAGACAGAAATATAATGTATTGTCCTTGCAAACTAGAAAGAGTACTAAACAGAGCATGGTTCTTGTACACTAGACAGTGTTATGGTTCTTGCATACTAGACCCAGCTATAGTTCTTGCATACTAGACAGAGTTAATAGTTCTTGCATACTAGACAGAGTTATGGTTCTTGCATACTAGACCCAGCTATAGTTCTTGCATACTAGACAGAGTTAATAGTTCTTGCATACTAGACAGAGTTATAGTTCTTGTACACTAGACAGAGATATAGTTCTTGCATACCAGACAGTTATAGTTCTTGCATACTAGACAGAGTTATGGTTCTTGCATACTAGACAGAGTTATAGTTCTTGCATACTAGACAGAGTTATAGTTCTTGCATACTAGACAGAGTTATAGTTCTTGCATACTAGACAGTGTTATAGTTCTTGCATACTAGACAGAGATATAGTTCTTGCATACTAGACAGAGTTATGGTTCTTGCACACTAGACAGAGTTACAAATGTAACATTCTTGCATATATAAGAAACACACTGTGGTTCTTATAAACATCACTGGATCATGTCAATGTATACTTTCCATGTGAACACTTAAATTTCACTAAAAATCCATTGAAGCTTTTGAGTCATGCTCCATACATAGGATGACAAAATATTAATGAAAGGCATCAAAAGACATAACTACAATTGTACATTGCATAAAATCAATGTTCCAGAATATTTCAATGATATGCACATTTTCTCTTGGAAGTGATGCTTGTATATATGTAGTTTATAAGTAATTTGGACAAAATAACAGAACTTTGAAAAAGCATTAAAAAGGCAGATCTTTATGCAAAAATCATTGAACCAGAAAAATCTACTTATCTACTATCTCTTCTTCATAAAGATGAGCAATGCAATAGATAAAGTCAAGGTGAATTCAAGTGGTATTTACTGTGAAATAGTTCTGACAAAAAAAGTTAGTTAAAAAAGACATTATAATGAAATAACTTTATGGAATATCATTTAAGATTTATCTTGAACATGTTTCTAATAGATGCATGCATCCTAGTAGTGAAATTTCTAAAGATATTTTGACAATTTCAAAGCTTCCTACATATTAGATCTATGTGTAAGTCATTTAAATATGTACATTTTTTAGGGTCATATAATGGTGAGCAGCAACCTTTAAGTTTTTACCTCTAAATAAATATGGAATTGCAGGCTTTTAACTAATCACTTAAATTTTCATTTTACAATTTTACAGCACCCTAGGGCATATATCATTTCTATCAGCTTTACTGGTTTGTATATCTGTGCCCTTAACCTGTTTTTTTGTTTTCTAGAAATGTTTCTTGCTGAGTGCACCTTCAAGCATTTGAAATTTTGTCTACTTCCTTTCGTCATCGAGTGTATCCATACATGTATGTCTGGCAGTAATGCAGCTATGTAAGTTACCATTATACAGTGTAATTAACATTTTCAAACAAGAGGGCCATGATGGCCCTGAGGTCGCTCACCTGTATATAGGCCCCCCAACGTTGCAGGGCCAATTTAACCCAAGGACTTTTATTTGCACAAACTTGGTAGACACCCATAAGAAGATGTTTCATGCTAAACATCTAAGCTCATTGGGCTTTTTAAAAGAGTATTTTTTTAAAGTTTTTACTATACACATATAGTTAAAAACAATGCCACCCCTGGGGCCGGGCCAGGGCTTTTATTTGAACAAACTTTGTAGACACTTACTAGAAGATGTTTCATGCTTAATCTCTAAACTCTAGCTATTTGGGTTTTTTCAAAGAAGATTTTAAGTTTTTGCTATACACATATAAAGAAAATCAATGACCCCCGGGGCGGGGCCAATTTTGACCCCAGGTCTTTTATTTGAACAAACTTTGTAGACACTCACTAAAAGATGTTTCATGCTTAATATCTTAACTCTAGCTATTTGGGTTTTTTCAAAGAAGATTTTTTAAGTTTTTGCTATACACATATAAGGAAAATCAATGACCCCCGGGGCGGTGCCAATTTTGACCCCAGGGCTTTTATTTGAACAAACTTGGTAGACACCTATTAGAACATGTTTGATTCTAAATATCTTAGCCATAGCTTTTTGAGTTCTTTAAAAGAAGATTTTTTAAGTTTTTACTATATGCATATAGGGAAAATTAATGACCCCCCGGGGTGGGGCCAATTTTGACCCTAGGGTTTTTATTTGAACAAACTTGGTAGACACCCATTAGAACATATTTCATGCTAAATATCTTAGCTCTAGCTCTTTGGGTTCTTTAAAAGAAGATTTTTTTAAGTTTTTACTATATGCATATAGGGAAAATCAATGACCCCCGGGGCGGGGCCAATTTTGACCCCAGGGCTTTTATTTGAACAAACTTGGTAGACACTCATTAGAAGATGTTTCATGCTAAATATCTAAGCTCTAGCTCTTCTGATTTTTTAAAAGAAGATATTTAAAGTTTTTTCTTTCGGTTGCCATGGCAACCAGAGTTCTGCATGGAATTAAATTCTTTGAACAATTTTTAAAGGTGACCACCAAAGGAACATTCCTGTGACGTTTGGTTGAAATTGGCTTAGTGGTTTATGAGGAGATGTCATTTAAAGTAAAAGTTTACGGACGGACGCCGGACGGACGGACGCCGGACGAAAAGCGATCACAAAAGCTCACTGAGCTAAAAAAAATGGAAACTTAAATGATTTCTATTAATCAATATTTTGAAACTTTTAATTAAATGGTACATGTATGTGGAGATTCCTTCGATGGATGGTGGTAAAGGTTAAGGACTTGCAATATCTTAACTAATGGACTTGCTATATTTTAACTACACTGTATTTTAAAGTTTGATTACAGTGCAGAAAAGACAAAATTCAATAAATACATTCAAGAAAAAAATATGCATTTAATAGTGGTTTCGTCTACGATGCATAAAACATTTTCCAGGAGAGGCACATTTACAGCAACGTATGATCTTCCTCCTCAAATAAAGTTACTTAGTTTGCTTTTCAAGTTTGATTTAAACACTTTTAGGTCATAATCTTGGTGATCAATCCACATACATGTAACCAGCTTTTCTGGATTTCAAACCACCAATTCCCAGTTTCTCAGCAAGTGAGTGTCCAATAATGGTGACAAAGCAAATTATGAATTTCGGTTCCAGAAATTTAAGGGTAATGGGGCACTAAAAACTGAAAATAAACTGCATTTTGGTTACTTTGAAACTAATACATGTACATCATAATAGCTAAGCACCTTTAGAAACCAAAATTACATGTACAAATGAATTATATCTGCAGTTTCCAGAAAGTTGAAAGGCTATCTTAAATAAACTTCACTCTTACAATTACAAACTGTTTTCATAATGACAGTACTGAGATATGTTTCACATGTATTTTCTTCATTTTTGAAAAAGTATTTTAAGCCTTTATAAAATACAATACATTTAATAAAGTATGTCAGATCTTAATCAAGGGATGGTATAACAGCCCAATGATCAAATTATAAATCAATTAAAATGTGTGCACTTGTTCCAGGACTCACGCTGGGCTATTATGTTGCTTTTCATCCAATGTTGTCTGAAACTAAGCATAGTTTTACACACTGTTTGATTTGTGTTGGGTAGGATTTCAATAAGTTGCTGCAATCATAACTTTTTCAGCAGAGTAACTTCATCTCTTAGTAGTCCCTTTTTTTCAAAAATGCATTAAATTTATTTTGATCAATATGAAGGGTGTTAGGTACACTCAGAAACAAAATGGTCAAAAGCCCATCACACAAAATTTTGAAAGGCCAAAATGACTTGAAAATTCTTGCATTAAAACTCATGAATATGATCATGAAAATTTCTAAAAAACTTTTTTAAACAATCACAGAAACAGATTTCAATAAATAATAGTGCAATAAATCAAAGTCTTAAAAAGTTTATGTCAAGAATTATATCTCTTTCTGGCATTGTGTCTGGAGCATACATATTATATACCGTAAAACTCCTATTAAACGCCCCGGGGGCTAAACATTTTCCAAAAGGGGGGCTATTATTACAACATGTTTTTTCCTAAATTCAAAAATCATTGAAAATACATTTAGTGTTAAAATGTGTTAAGATTTTAAAGTTAATGCGATATATATTTATGTGTTTACTATGAAATAAAATGGATTCTGAACATGCTGAAGGGTTTGAATAAATGGATTTATTCAAGAGTTCACCACTGATGAGCAGATATTTTTCCATATATCAAATAGCCTGGGGGGGCTTTTATTAGGGGAGGGGCATTTATTAGGAATTTTACGGTATTTATCTAAATTTAGATGCTAAATTTTCACCATTTTTTGTTGCAAAAATGTGTTATGTATGATAGTTATTAGGGTTAGAATCTCGCATTTTTTTTGCCATGAACTCCCAAAAAGAGAAATCAACTTGGAAAATATAATTTACAGCATACAATTTGTTCATGTTCATTACAAAAAAGAGTAATGTGCAAAAAATATACACCATCGTCAACGACAATCGGTGTCAGTTTGTTTCATCAAGGGGACATTTGTCGGTGTAATAGACCGATAGAATACTCTAATTTGTTTGTTTACAAATTAATGATTGAAAACCGGAATTAACGCTTGCCTTTTAGATTATAATATATAAATTGTGCACTTAATTAAGCTCCGAACGCATTGTTAATTAGACATGGGTGTGACCTGAATGTGCCCCACAATGCTCTAAGTGCGCGATTTATACATTATAACCTGAAACACAAGCTTTGTTTCTGGTTTTGGTTCTTTAAATCTATGTAAACAAACTGATTATGAGAATTTCTATCTGTCTATTGCATTGGCGAGGTTCTTTTGCAATGGCAAAGTTTATCTAGAAAATCATGCATAAAATGCAGGACGAGTAGCATAGCATGCAGAACGAGTCGGGGCTCGAGCTAGTGGGCGATTCGGGCGAAATAGTCGCCGAATTCCGTCTGACTTCGCCGACATCCTACATGAAAGCGAAGATGAAGTCGCCCGATTTTATTGATCCATTATTGTAAATTACCAACAATAACTGTGAATAACATGTGGTGTGTGTTTGCTTTGTTTTACCCTCGCCGCTGGAAAAAGGGACTGTCATGCATCTCAATCAACGCGAAATGTCTTTAATCCGTTTGTTTACCAACATGTCATAAAAGTCTAATTAACAGACGCTCGAGGAACAATTAGACTCCGCCCACGGCGAGATTACCGATACGTGCGAGAAACCAATCGTAATTCACGTTTTAATCGAGGCGACATTATTTAACCAATCATTAAATCGCTAACATACAACTACCTGTAACAATTATTTATGATGGACGGATCAAACGTCAATTAAATTTTCACTATCGAATGATTGTCAGAATTAAGCGGAATCGCTCGACATATAACTGTAACGGTAATTTTAAATGAAAGTTATGATAACCTTTTTTGTCGACGAGTTAAATTTGACAAGATTAACGGCGTATTACACTGTATTTATTACAAATGAAGTGAAATTAAAGATCGTTTCTTTCGTTATCTACTTTTATTTTCTTTACAACATAAGTGAATATGAATATAATGTCCGGCGCAAGCTTTTTAATAGTAAATCAGAAGGGAATAACTGTTAATCCACCCATGATATGATCCATGATAGGAATCAACTATGGCTTTTTTTATCTTCATTTATCATTTATGCAATGGTTGCATTACATGATACTCATTCTTATTTCTTGTTTTAAACTACTTTTAAATAGAGACATAGATAACAATAGTTATAATAATAGCTATCTATGTCTCTGTTTTAAATTAAAATTGAATATTCTGTTGTAACACAAATCCAATTCATTTAATAAGATATGTACAGTGAGTCAACATAATTGCGATAACATACAACAAACATCGATAAATGAATCTCCTCACTTCTCCCTAAAATCTCCCCACTTCTCCCTAAATCAGCTGGAGGGAGAAGTGACTTCTCCCTAAATTTTGAACCTAGCTTGAGCCCTGCGAGTGATTGTTAAAACAATGTTATTTACTTTAATCAAAAAGTGAAAGAAATAGCATTGCAAACTTTTTCCTAATAACCACCTTTGAAATAGAATTAAGAAAACGACAGAAGTGTGACTGAGTCACACTTTTTCTTCAATACTAAAATTTCTATTACTTTGAAGGATCATGACTTGACTGCATTGAAATTGCCAATTTATATGAGTATTTAAGATAAGACAAAATTAATGTGATTTTAATTATCTAAAGCACAGAACATAGAGAATTTTTACCTTTGTGTGCATCAGTATGCCTATCAAGATGGCATTTCTTGTAAAACGCCATTTCACAGCCCTCTTCCTCACATTTGAAATTCTTTGGTGCCTTTTGATGGGTTTCGTTTAAATGTAGAGCAAGTGCCCGCGTAGACTTAAAGCTTTTCTCGCATCCTTCAATGTCACATGGAAATGGGCGGTCTGTTTGATGAGATAATAAATGAAATTTGAGACCATTTGGGGTTTTAAATGCTTTGTTACAGTCTTCTTTTTCACATTTATACGGTCTTTCTTCAGAATGCAGTTTCAAATGGCGTTTCATATTATCTTCCGTATAAAAAAGTTTGTCACATTCGGTACATTTGACGTTACGTTCACCCCTTTGCTCATGTATATGCCGAACATGTTTTTTCAAATTTGCTTTATAGTTTGATTTATAATCACACTGGTCACAGCTAAACAGTTTTGGTTGGTCTGGATAATGAGAAACTACATGACACTTTAAGGAAGACTCGTACTGAAACTCTTTCGAACACTCCGGACATTTAAAAGGAATTCTCCCTTGACATTCCTCCATGTGTTTCTCAAGAGGAATTTCACTACATTTAACATAGCGATTGCAATTTTTGCAAAACTTGCAATCACTTCGGTCTTTGTGTTCTTGCGCACAGTGTTCTTCTAAAATTTCGTCATTTTCAGCACGGTATTTACAGCGTTTGCACTGATAAATTCCATGAGTTCTCATATGATTTATAACAAGCACCCGTTTTGGAGCAGAGTAGTCACATTCCTCGCACTTATGAAATTTTGGTTTGGCGTTTAATTCCGGTTCCAAACCCAACTTCTCTGGTTGACATTTTCTTAAATGCCTTGTATGTCCACCTTTACTTCGAGAAACATACCCACATTCATCACATTTTATACTTTGCTCAGATTTGTTCTCAGCATGAGCTTCATCATTGTTTAACTTTTCAGCATCACCTTCATGACCTTCATTAGCCTTACGATCACTATTAATGCTGTCAAAACTTGTATCAAGATCAGAACTTTCATCTGAATCATTTGCAGCATCATCAGAATCAGAATAATCTAGAGCAACTGCATTTGAGTTTGCAAGAGTTTCGTCCATTTTATTAAGATTATTCAAATCTTTATCATTCTCTTCAATTTCAGTTTGTTTATTTTTATGAGGTGTCTGAATCTTTTTCTTTGATTTACTTTTTGCAACTTTTTCTTCACTGGCCTCTGGTCCATCTGACTTTCCAGTAATATTAGATTTTTCTGCATGAGTTTTCCTTAATTCTTCAGTCTGCCTTTTCAGTTCTGACTGAGCTTCTTCTTTCAGCAGCTGTTTTTTCGTCTTTTTCCCTTTTTTGACTTTAGTTACGATTTCTTTTGATTCTCCTTCTTTTTCATTATTGCCTTCATTTTGAATGCCTGAAAGTTTTCTTTTCCTACCAGTCTTTTTCTTAACTCCAGCTTCATCATCAATAATTTCAGTTTTAAGCTTATCTGCCTTCTTCTTTGACAAAGTTTTCTTTTTTACCTCAGATTTAACCGGGTCTGTTTCCCCTTCCACAGTTTCATTTGTTTCTGCATTATTTGATTGTTTTGCTGATTTTTTCTTTGCTTTTGGAGACTTTTTCTCCGGACTTTCTTTTGTTCCTGTGTCTTCTACAGAATTAAGCTCAGAATTTTTCACTTTCTTTTTTGACTTAATCTTTTTGTCAGGAGTTTCTTCAGAATCATGAACAATTTCACCATTAACTTCTGGACTTTTATTCAAAACTCTATTATAATTACGCTTCTTGGGCGGAGTACTTTTCAGGGAGGAGATATCTGATGCGTCATCATCACCGATTACACTGCTGCGCTCAGACAAAATGTCACTTTGGTTATCAACAAAACTGCCTGAATCATTTAAATTCGAACTGTCCTCTTTTGAAACTTTTGTGGTTTTACGTTTCTTTGGTGGTGTACTTTTGGTGGACCGATCATCATCAGCAGCATCATCTTCTTCTTCAACTAGATCTGTCCGTCGCCGCAGCTCTGGTTTCTTCTTTGGATCTTTTATCGTCCTCATCTTGATGGAGTATTATCAATCACTTACATCTTCTGGTTAATTTGCTCATATATCATTATTTTTCAAGTGCCAAGAAACCAGGAATTCTGAAGAAAAAAAATATAAATTGTATCATATAATGAAACTAGAAATGTGTCATCATGCCACGGATGCCCCCGCATGCAGCCAAAATTTCAGATGGTGCATTAATTTTTTTTTTTCATTTTAAGTTCAAAGCCCTTAAAACTTTTCAATGTTAACACAAACCATTTCCATACAACGTTCAAGGCACTGAAATTATTCAGTCTTAACCTTTAGAAAAAGCATATTGCATATTTGTAGCCAAAATAATGGCTAAAAGAATGAGTGCTGAAACTGAAAGTTCAAAATTTTTCCAACATTCAGGAAAGATAAGTTTGTCTAAAATCATTGAACCACAACCAAATTCAAACTTAAACTGCTTATTCCTAAGACGTATCTATATTATTTTCAAAGTGAAAGGGACATAACTCTGCCAAAAAACCATCAAACCATGACCAAATTCCAACTTGACCTGCCCATTCCTTTGACATATCCATATGTCAAATTAAAATTGAATAATTATGTAACACTGTGAGGTAGATAATGAACAGAAACTGTAAATTTCAAATTATTTTCAAAGTGAAAGGGGCATAACTCTGCCAAAAATCATTGAACCATGACCAAATATGAACTTGACCTGGGCATTCCAAAAACATATCCATATGTCAAATTTGAGTTGAATGTGTTGTACCATTGGGGAGATAATAAACGGAAACTGAAAATTTCATATTACTTTCAAAGTGAAAGGGGCATAACTCTGCCAAAATCATTGAACCATGACCAAATTTGAACTTGACCTGCGCATTCCTTTGACGCATCAATATGTCACGTTTGAGTTGAATGTGTTGTACCTTGAGGGAGATAATGAACGGAAACTGAAAATTTAATATTATTTTCAAAGTGAAAGGGGCATAACTCTGCCAAAAATCATCGAGCCATGACCAAATTCAAACTTGACCTGTATTTTCTCATGACATATCCATATGTCAAGTTTGAGTTGATTGTGTTGTACCGTTGGGAGATAATGAACAGAAACTGAAAATTTCATATTATTTTCAAAGTAAAAGGGGCATAACTCTGCCAAAAATCATCGAACCATAACCAAATTCGAACTTGACCTGTATTTTCTCATAACATATCCATATGTCAAGTTTGAGTTGAATGTGTCCAACCGTTCTTGAGATAATGAACGGAAACTGAAATTTCATATTATTTTCAAAGTAAAAGGGGCATAACTCTGCCAAAAAATCATCGAACCATGACCAAATTCGAACTTGACCTGTATTTTTCATGACATATCCATATGTCAAATTTGAGTTGAATGTGCCCAACCGTTCTTAAGATAATGAACGGAAACTGATGATGACGGAATGACAGAATGACGGAAGGACGGAAGGACGGAAGGACGGAATGACGGAACAGGGTAACACTATATGCCCCGGCCATTACATGGCGGGGGCATAAAAAAAAATCATATTATGATCAATACAAAATAAAGGAGAGGTTTACTGCTTTCTAATGGACATTTTTCTGAATTAAAGTACATTTGAAATCAGTCTCATTATCTAAAGTTACAGTAATCATAATGCACTATTGTACTGTAGAACAACATAATTCATATGGTCAAATCAGATTATTCCAGTGAAAACAGATGTTCTGTTAATTATCTGGGGCTTTACTTTGAACAAATTAAAAATGTATATTAAAATAGTTCTGGTTTATACATGTAGATATCAATTTACACATAAAAATAGTAGCAAAATAAAAAATAAAAAATTTTTAAGAATTAACCATCAATTATATCATACATTTAGTTTAAATTAAAAAAAAACAACAAAAAAACATCTTTATTAATTGTTTAAATATATCTGTAATATTGGTGTACAGTCCATCTGAATTCCCAGGCATGCTTATCATCCAACCCCTAGTATTACCAAATATTTCTATTGTTACAGTATACAAACATGTATACTGCTAGACATTTTGTCACCTATATTTATGCAATATACAATACTTCTTAACAGGTGCATTGTGGTACTATCATAAAAGTGTGACCACATCCTTCAAATATCTTAACAGCTATTTTGCAAGTTAATTAAGTGCTAATGTTGAGTGGTATTCTTATTACAGAGAATTTACCTGGCAGCATTAGTTTTCTATTTCTTAGTAAATATCAAACATTGTTTTTATATAGGAAGAGAATAAATAAAATGTGTTTTAAATAAAAAAAAGTATGGACTTGATCAAGAAAGGTATCTAAATTGTATATATACTGTGCTCCTCATAGCTTCTGATGCTAGGCTTAATACCATACAGGGAAAATAAAGAATGACTTCATTAAAATATACATGTGTAAATAATTTTATTCAAAAGTTACTGTAACTTCTATTTTTTTGCTATATATGACACAAGGAAAGTGCCACATATTTAATCAAAAGCATATTAAATAGAACAAATATGTAAAAATGTGACAACCCTTTTAAAACATAATGTCATCATTAAACTAGCGACAAATAGTGTTACACATTCATATGTTCCATATATCTGTTGCAAACTTCTTGGTTAAAAGGTAATAGTATTAAAGAGATCTACTAAATTTTATAAAGCCATTTTTAGGAAACCAAACTTACATTTTAATTCTTTTACTAAGAAGAACAATATTAGAAACGGATGACTGTTCTTTGGAGAAGTTAGTAATATGTTTTTTTTCTATTTAACTGTGACAGACACAGATTAAAATATTTCAGGCAAAACTTCTTGGCTTCAGAGTATAAATATTACAGGTCAAGTCTGACCAACTTAAACACCAGCCAAATTACTCTGAGATAAGTGATGACCCAAATTAGTGACCAGTACATAAATACAAACAACATTTACAATATATTTTCAAATCTTTCTTGGTTTTTATGGCGTGGTCATTTAAAGCATAAGGAATGTAAGTATATATATCTGTATGTAAATAAATTTGTATTTATATATTTGTATACATATACTAAAGAGTAATGTATTAATAGATATACAGTAAGCTTTTAATTAAAAATCTACAGTTGCTGATCATGTTAACAAAATCAAATACAATAAACTTTCATAACATATAGGAATCCTTTTAAATTCTATCTGAATAATTTGATATCGCCAAACTTCTCATTTGATTTTACAACACTTCAATTGTCACAATGAAGACCATTCATACAAGAAACCGTGACCCTAAAATTTTTATAAACTACAGATTTTTAACACTTGGTTAGGTCAATTTAAACCTTTGGTTTACATATTGTGCATAAACCTACTAAAGTATTTGTAATATAATTTGATAACATTATCAATTCTAAACAGAAATTTTACAAAAATTGACAAGATAGCGATGCATATCATCATAATTTTATTTATTTTGCAAATGCAGTCCAATTAGTGCTTCGCTCCAACAAACGGCACCTAAATTTGCAAAGGTTCATCGCTGAATTTCTTTTGCTATGGGGGACTATAAACCTTAAAATATAGTGTATCAAATACATAAAACATAAAATAAACCTACTGCTTCCAAACTATAGACGACAGATTTCTCATTGTGAAGCAAACGATAAAAATATAAAATGTCTACATTACAATACACATTCCGTCGGCCATTGCTAAATATAGCAAATCAATTCACTGAACGGCACCGAATGGCATACTTGTTTTTGATTGGTTGCGGCGCACCAAAGAAGTATAAGGTGAAGCCAATCAAAATTCAGTAAAGCTAGACAGGAACTGGCGCCAATGTACGAGTGAAGGAAAGTTGTTGTTTTCATGAAAATACACAATCGCAGGACGATTAAGTAACATACCTGTGGCCAAATGCTTGCAGACGGATAAGTTAATGTTTTCTTTGATGTGTAAGTAATTATTTGAATACTATTGTTGATATTTTTGTCTAAATCGGTTCACAAAAAGTAAATCGCGGAATCAGCTGATAAACAAGGTGCGCGCTAAATTGAGCTGTCAAAAACAACATAAGTTGCGTCACAAAGGAATGGTTTCAGAAAATCTCCTGCGTAAAATGCATTGTTATAAGGGATTAACATAAACAATTTAGTTTAGCATTGGGAAGATTCAACAATAAGAAAACGTGCTGATTAAAATAAAGAAACTTAGGTAGGAACATTGTCAACATACTGAACCGGAACTGTCGTGGATGCAGTATGTCCATACATAATGTTTTATAAAAAAAAACACGAAAATGCATAAAAGAAAATTAAATTACCAATAGATTAAATAAAAGACTAATACAGTGTCAAAATCAAATAACTTATATTCTTGTGTTCAAAATGTATATACAGTAAATTAACCCAAAGTGTCATGTTATCAAGTGACAAAAGGAATGATCCCATCTCAACAAACCTTCCATTTGAATGGAACCCTAGTTAGATTAGGTTACCTCAGCAAAATAACCATAACTCTGGTATGCTCACACCTGATACCAAAATAACGGGACTTCTTGTCAACATTCCTATACAGTTCTAAACATGTAACCAAAAATGTCAAATCACTACTCATTAAATCAGTAATTATTACCCGTGGCTAGAAGTAAGTCGGATCTCAGTTTCAATCTGGTTTCAAAAGTATTGTCTCCTCACATCTAACCACTAAAGAGCAGTTCACGAGTCAACTAATTGTCCTATTTTAACATCAGTTTCTTGGAAGTAATTGGACAGGCAAATTTATTAGTAAATAGTAGATTTATTCAGTGTTATAAATATATAGACGTTAGTATGTTTAAGCACATATTACTTCATGCCATAAGGCAAAGAAGATTCATGGCCTTTATTTTATGATTATATGGGGGAAAATTCAGTCGCATCCCCTCCCCATTTGATTTATATTTTTCCCTTATTTCTGAAAAAAAACAACAAAAAAAAACTTCCCCTTAAATCTGCTTGGTTCCAGATGAGCCACAATATTTGGAGAAAATCAATCTAAAGTAAAATGTACTAAGATTTTAAGAAAAGTTAAAATGATCCGACAAGTAAAAATTTATATATGCAATTATTATCACCATATTAAATTCAGTTTAAAAATAAATTATTTTTTTTACATGCCTAATGGAGACCTTTATCAATTTGATATCATATTGAAATTTGCTTTTTGCCAAATAGAATATATTTCACATTATTAGTATTTTTGTTGAAAAATAGAATCCTCCCTCTTCAAAGCAGTGCGAATTTACTTTACCTGTGGGCCCTGGCCATGGTTCCTTTAAAGGTAATTTAAGGGCCCTTATATTGAAATAAATCAACTGTTAGTGATCATGTTAATAAAAGCTCTGAAATAATTTCAGGACAGATGCTGGTCAAAGAGGGTGATGATGTATGAGCTTGATCAGAGTTTACAAAGTGGAAGCAAGGTTGTGTCTGCAGGGTTCTCTTCAAAACCAGAATCCTCGTTTGACAGTGGTTACAGCTCCTCACCAGCAAAGTTCAATTTTGGTAAGTCCTTAAGACGGTGTCATAAAGCAATTAGATGACTCATTTTTTGTCAAGCCGACTTGTAGAGAGCTTGATAAGTTGACATGACAGTTCAGTGTAAGTATATGGTATGTGCCCGTCCAGATTATGCTTGTCCGGGTCGTAACTCTGTCATTAGTTGGCAGAATTTCAAATAACTTAGCACAAATGTTCACAATAATGAGACAGTATGTTGCAACAAGAACCGCGTGGTAAAAAGGTCACTTGAGGTCTAACTTAAAGGTCAAATGTAAAGAAATGGTCTCAAACAGCTTGTCTGCACCATAACTATATCACTAACTGGTGGAATTTCAAATTACCTGGCACAAATATTCAATATCACGAGACGTCATGTTCAAACACAATAACTGTTTGAATGGTCAAAGTTTAAGGTTATACCTCAAGGTCAAGATGTGACAGAGGGCTCAACATGTTGCCCTTGGGCATGTAGTCATATTTCAGAAACCTTAAGATTCCTCAAAGACATATATATTACCATGCCTTAACAGTGCTCTTGTTCATGACATATTTTATTGTAATTTAGTATTTTATAAGAAACACATCAGATGATTTTTTGTTTAACTAAAACTTTTCTTGCTAACTATGTTGGTTCTGGTTCATAGAATATCTTTATCAATTTCAGGAATTGCCACTGCATCAAACATATCAAGTTCTCAATCAGTATCATCAATAATGGATCGTCAAAAACATTATATTGCCAGTCCCCTTCGGAGTCATAATACAGATTCAAACCCAGGTATATTGAGCATGAGCCCAGTGAAAATAGAGCCAGGTTTATTCAGCCCATTTAAAGGTTCATCACTTAGTCCATTCAAGGATTCCTCTCTCAGTCCCTTCAAATTGTTTAACCAGAGTCCTTCTAAAGGATCATTTGATGAGTGGGATAAAGACTTCATAGCAAGCTTTCAAGAGAATCTGTTTGGTGATGTGACAAGCAATTCAAGTCTAGTAGATGAGTGGTTACGCTCTCCCCAAGGTAAGGCTTTGTTGGAGAGTAGGAACAGTCCAATGAGGAGTGGCAGTAGTGCTGTAAGGAGACTGAAAATTACTCCTGAAAATAAAAACAGGAAGCAGAATTTCCAACCTCTTCATGACAATTATGTAGAGATATTTAGTGCTCCAGTGTATGTAAAGCAAGAAACTTCAGACACGTGCATTGTGAAGGAAGAAAATACCACACATGATCATATGTATGGGCAGTCTATAGGAAGCATAGCCTCAAACCCTCTTAGTGCAATAGATCCTAATAAAATGAGTGACACACCTATGAAACCAAGAGTTACAAACATGGAAAATGCACCTATTCGTAAGTTGTCAATGCGAATGTCAGGTATCTCGGCAGATGTTCCAACAGTTATTGTGCAAAGGGAAAATTCTTCAGAGAATAACTGGCCTTCAAAAGAAAAATTAAAGTTTGCTCGCCAACAGTTTAAACAAATTTTAAACAAAGCCGTCGAAAAAGAGCTAGAAATTATGGAGGAAATCAGAAAAAGAAAGGCTGAGGCAAAAAGAAAAGAAATCAGCAAGAATACAAAAAAGACAAAATGTGATTCAAAGTTAGTGGTACACACTGGTGGCAATGTGGCTAAAGTTGGACATAAACATGGTGGAAAAGTCTCGCAGGGTGGAAAGTCAAAGGGAAAAGTAGGTCGTAGACCCGGACGAAAAGATAAATATCCTCAAATTAAGATGGCACTGTCAAAACCAGTAAGACAGGAGGAAATGTCACCGTTAGTTCACCGCGAACTTTTCCCGCCAGCCGGTTTCACCGACCCCGGCTGGTATCCTAGTGACGATGATGTTGATATAGAAAATGACGACGACACTTGGTCTGGTCCACCTCCATTCTTTAAACAGTCTAGTGTTGAAGTTTATGGACATGATGATGATTCTTCGGATGAGGATTACGATCCTTCAGCCTATCAGTATGAAACACTGTCTGGGCGTAAAGTGAAGAAACGAAAGATCTATAGATACTGAGTTGTGAAGAAATTATTGTGATTATTTTGACATGATTTTGATTGGGTCAGGACCATTTATTGAGTATTTATTAATGAAATTAATACATTTTGTTAACTTTTTCAGTTAAATTGTTAAATACTACAACAAAAAGAGCATGCTTTGTAAGGTACCAGATATTGTGTTTAAGGATTAAAGTTATTTTGTAGTAGAGTAGTTGAGCAAGTTAACTATGTATATAAATGCATTCTTGTATACTATAATTTGCTTTTTTTAGTGCATATTCACCTGTTGATGAACAAAAATACCTTGTTAAAATGGTCAGTAATATGAAGTGTTAATAGGTAGTGGCTATGCAAAATATGTAAGGCAGTGATATTTGTATAGATTTATACTTTGTATAGAAAATGATATTAACTTTAAACACAAAAGCAACAATAGTCAAATTATTTCAGTTGTTAGTAACTGAAAAATGAATTGATCAAAGATCTTGATGCCAAACAATATCCATAAGAAATTTGCTGTAATCAAACAGAATATCATTTAATTTGTCTGTGCTGGAAACAATTGATTAGCATTTATTATAGTCTTATAGAGAATATGAAATGAGTAGATTTAATACTAAATTTATTGAACAAGTTGAATAAAATCATATTATGCGAGCCTCTGTTAAAAAGAGTTTTTTTTATTGACGCGCCTATTGTGAAACGCTAACATTAGCACTCTAACGCTATGTGTATATATATAGCGCAAATGACGTCATGTCAAAGTGTCATTAATAATTATAATAGATATATCATTTTTATTAAATGGCTTTATTACAATTCTGAGCCGTGGTTTATGTGATAAAAAGAAGTAATGAAATTGTTCATTACAACTAGTAATATAAATTTCAAATTTCAGTTACTCTATCCCAGGTAATAATTTATGATGGCCTGGTAATTTCAATGTTCAAATTTTTTAAGACATTATTGTATTGGTCGAGCTGCAAAGTTTGGGGAAAAAAACCTTAAAAAGTTTTTCTTAAAAAAAGTAGAAGCATATGACAATGGCTCAAAGGTCGATTCAAGTAAAAAGAAAATTGTATTAATGATTTTAATGAAATATATGTATGGCCAAAACTTTTGGCAAAACGTGTTGATTGTAGAGTAGATTAATATAGTAAAGTGGTTGTCTTTCAAGTTCTGAGTTGAGTTTTAAAATGATGTACATAAAGTGTCAGCATGTTAATGTCTGTGATGTTGTTTTTTTTTCTAGCCAATTATTTGCTTTGTAGTTTGTACTATTTTTTTTAATCATTTATTATGTTTAAATAGTAAAGGGGTATGCCTGTTACCAAAAGATATTGATATATGCATACATGTACCATTTTGTATAACAATTGTCAGATTTGTTTAATGTACTAAAATAATAAAAGGTTGATGGATCTAGTCTGGTGCACGCCTGAAGTTTGTAGGTGCACCTGACGTCTTCCTCCCACCAGTTAAGCTTAAAAGTCACCATATAACCATAACCGTGTAGATGTGATTTAAAACTTAACAAAACAAAACTGCTTATACTATTTATCAGACCAATAACAGCTAACCAAATCTGACAGGAAAAAGATATATTGAACCTAAAAGGGAAAAAAAATCATGTTTTGCGAAATTTTGATACAAAGAAACTCTTTTGTTTCACAGATTCTAATTTGCTTTGTTCCACAGACCTTTGGTAAAAAGTCATTTATATCTTCAGTAAAATAAGCAAGAGTTTTTTTGCTTTTCCAATCAGTGGTGTAATAGAATCATATGCTAGAGGTCATACATGCTATGAAAATTTCCAAAACTATACAAAAACTTTTTTATTACCACTTTGTGAGGAAATAAATTATTGTCATGCCCCAGTAGCTCTTTATGGGAAATGAAAAACATAAACCTGGATTTCTTTTTAATGAAATGATTATATGATGATTATTTTTATGTAGATTAACTCGGACAATGGAAAAATAAGTTTAGGCTTAACAATACCTTTAACCGCCTCCGTGGTCTAGGGGTTAGGCTTAACAATACCTTTAACCGCCTCCGTGGTCTAGGGGTTAGTCGATGACTTCTAAGCCAGTTACCTCTCTGGCGTGGGTTCGATCCCCGGGAGATGCTTTGGTAGTTTAGCGCGGAGGAAGGTAGTCTAGTACTGGTGTATTTCTCCAGGAACTATGGTTAGGAAACTACCCGCCTATATGACTGAAATACTGTTGGGAAAAGGCGTAAAATGAAACAAACAAAACACACAAACAATACCTTTAAGTATTGATTAAAGTAGAAAATATATATCATCCAACATGTAGTTTATACATTGTTCATATGCTAGATATTTACTATATATTATGATTTTATGCATATAAGTAACAAGATGGTTTCACATAACTCTAATAATTTAATTATTGTGGTTTATATATAGTTTTGTTTTATAGAATAATGATTTTCTGGAGGGATAAAAATATGTTTTAAAACTCTTGACCTTTGGTTATTATTAGAAATAATAATGTATTTTTTTAAGGAAATGGAAGTTGTTCAGAGATTTTTTCTTTCAAACTTATAGGGAAGATGAAAAAAAAATTTGCTGTGGTGTCAGACTGTAACTGTATTTATATTATCCTTTTTGATTGTGATGTATATATCTATATTTTGTTTGTGTTGTTAAAAGATATTTTGATCATTATCATTATTTATTCTCTTTTGTTTAGCAATAGAATGAAAATGGTTTTCTTTATATCATTCCTCTTATATAGCTTGAATTACCTCCCCTGGTCGCCATTTTTAAAATCCCTTGTAAAATATTCATGTATGCTGATAAAAGCATTTTTGAAATTAGTGCTGTACTATGCCTCTTCAAATATGGAATTCACCTAAATCATCTGTAACTTTGCTGATCTTAAAGCCACATGCATCCAGATGAGCCAAAATGTTACAAGAAAATCAACCTTGGGGAAAAATGTACTAAGATTTTAAGAAATGATGATAATATTTATAATTCATGAAACAATTTACATGTTATATGCAATTAATGATTGATTTTGCAGTGCCAGTCACTAAATTTCCACTTTGTGACTAATGCAGTTAGGGTTATATCGCATAATCTGACCTATTTTTGTAGATCTATGAAAATTCTTTGTTTACATGGCAATATTTTACTTTTAAATACATATTTTTTTCAAAATTCACAAAGGAGCTGCGCCATGACAAAACCAACATAGTGCTTTTGCAACCAGCATGGATCCAGACCAGCATGCGCATCCACGCAGTGTTGTCAGGATCCATGCTTTTAACTTACAAACCCTATAACAAGTAGAGAAACTGATAGTGAACAGCATGGATCCTGATCATACTGCGCGGATGCGTTGGTTTTGTCATGGCTCAAATATGATTTTGAATTTGGAAGCTTGCTGCTTTAATATTTTGTCAGTTATTTAATTGGCTTAATATTTTGTCAATTATACATGCATATATTAAATGGTTGCCGCTTTTATCATGGAATGTAAACAATTGTTAAAACAGGAAATATCTATTCTTTCACGCTATTGTTTACTCACATTTTTCACCATGATGCTTAATTTTATAAAGTAACACATAAATACCGAATCATGTTCAAATTAGAATATAGATACAATGTATGCAAAGTACTGTAATGGAAATCCCTTAAATAGACTGTATCATGCATTTTAGTGTAATAATGCTATATAAATATTGTATATTTTCACTGAGCCATTTAAAACACACTCTTTATCATGGCCCTCTGTAGAACAATAGCCTATTTAAAACAGGAGCAGAGCTTACGGATCATCGGTGGTTCTACTCGGGTGCCCGTTCGTGCCTGAAATAATGCACGGAAGGACACCTGCGGTCTTCCTCCACCAGTAAAGCTGGAACGTCGCGATATAACCTATACTGTGTCGATGTGATGTCAAACCCAAAAACAAACAAAACAGGAGCAGAAAAATTTTCCCAAAAATTATTTATCTTGCTAGAATAGCGACACTTGAGAACAACCAAAATATTTTTCTACTGGCTTTGTAGAGGTTGTATTGTAGTTTAATGGTAAAATAAACTTTTCTCAAATTTTTCTTCCATTCAAAATCATTCTAAAGGCGTCTGTAAGTTTTATTTTCTTACATTTTGCTCATGAGCTTGTTACATGTAATCAAAAATGACTTCATTTAATCTACTTATTACTGTCGATTACTTGAAAAAATGTACTTTATTACTATTGATTACGATTACTAATTACAATTATATCATCCCTGAGTCATGTGTTTGTAATTTTAATAAATTTATTGGCTATAATGTAATCTACCACATTTCCAAAACTTGTATAAGTGGATTTTGTGTTTAGAAAACCATTCCATTGCTTTGTTTTTTATTGTGGATATGTTGTTAATGTTTGTTTTATATATTTTAAGGACAGATTTTTTTGTATTTATAATTTCAAAATAATAAATAGGTGCTTTCTGTTAAGCTATTGAATTAGATTATGGATTAAGTAAACTATATATTTTAGATGATATTTTAAGTTGTATAATTACTGTATACTTCAGCTATAATTAGTAAATGTATCCCCATACACTTTTTAAATGGAATAAAAGGGAATGAAAAATTAGTTCAATTTGTTGTCTTTGATTCAAGTTAGAACCATGAAGTGAGTATGTATTTAAGAAAGCGAATAAAGTATGATCACTGTAATGGGCATTATCAAGAACTGAAAAATTGACAACATAGATCAGTTATATATGCCTTATTAAAGAACTTGTACATGTACATGTATATGCAAACACTTGTGAACTAAAGATTGGATATTAGAAGGCCTAGTTTTCAAAAATAAGGGAACTCTAAATAATCTTTATCTTTCTGATGAAAAGCATTTTCCTATTGAAAATTGTTAAGAAACAAATGATATCACTAAGCTCACAAAAAGCTGAAGCCAAATCATTGTTTCTTCTCGAAACGTTTTGAAATATGTGTAAAATCTTTACCATACTCCACCTATTTACAAGACTTGTTTAAACATTTTCCTGCCCAGACAGCCTAATTTAAAATATCACTAAACTTTACTCAATTGATGATGGGCTGTTTGCCTAAATTTTCTTAGAAATATATATTAATTTTGCTCTTGTAAAATATTAAATACTTTAACTATGTAGTTTTAATTTTACTAGATTTAACACTATTCAGGTAAAGGGCATCCATCGCCAGATGGTTAAAGTGATAGACTTCAAAACACTTGCTGACTGCTGTGGGTTCAAACTCCAGCAGGGACTTGAGAGAAAGCTATCTAGCTATCCCTAGGAACATCAGTGATTCTACTCTGCCTGAAATAATACACGGAGGACCACCAGAGGTCTGCCTCCACCAATAAAGCTAGAAAGTGGCCATATGACCTCTACTGTGCTGGTGCAACATAGAAAAAAAGTTAAGTTATAACTTAACCTTCTGGGGTTTGGAATCTGTCAAACTTAATGAAGTAAACAAAATCAAAGGCAAACTTGTCACCTTTAGCCACGCCATTTTGTATATGTGCAACTTGGATAAAAGTCAGACCAATCAGGAATAAAATTATCAGACCTAATCAAAATTTATTGGACATGTCTGTCGGTCCGACATATTTCGGGAAATCTGGCATTTGTAGCCTGTTTAAATACTCTTCAAAGCAGGATGGTCATACTTAACATGTAATTATTCATATCTTCTCTAAAATGAAGATATTCACTTGAAACTTAAATCAATATTTAAGGGTCATAATCACTGGCAATTGCAGGTTGGACATTGAAGTGGCACTTTCTACCAAAGTGAGTGTGGGCGAAAGGCATCATCTTGTTGTCCTCTAAATTATACATCGCTTGGGTTGAAAGTTTCCACACACCAAGGTTCTTATCTTGTTGATATAGATATTAGTATAGCACAGAGTCAGAGGCAAAACATGAAATTACAATCTGTTGAATATTAGATAAATGTCTCATCTGAGTGCATGATTTTAACTAATTTCAATAGTTTTATAGCTGCAGGCTATGCTCCTGGCATGAAAAATGCTATCCACCCACCATCTGATTGGTGACTCCTGTAATATATACCCCCCTCAAACTGTCCAGGGTAATGGATTGTTTGAAGCTCACTAGCATTGCAATAATTCATTTGTGGCCATTGATTACATATACATGTATATTGGGCTACAGAACAAAGGAAATAGAACTAATACATGTAAATGCAAATTTTTATTCCACCACTTGTAGTTATGTAGGCACAAAATAAATCAAGAGAATAAGTTTATACACAGTTCATTTCAGTTTGGTTGTGTTGGAAGCTAGACTCAAATATGTTCCCATATAAGAAAACAGTACTAGACAACGAGTGTAAAGTTTCTTGTTCAAGGAAACAATTAATGGCTTGCCCATAACGGGTTTGAACCCAAGATGTGTGCAATACCTTATTACAAGTCAGACTGTTAACCACTCGGACACGCTGTCACTATCAAGAGTATTGAGTATTCATTGTATATTGCCCCAAATTTTACCTTCATTTATTACACAACCATATAGGAATAACAAAAAAGAAAACAAACACAAAATGTCAATATCATATAATGTATAATTCTAAATGAATAAAAATTCATATATTAATCATCTTACAGTTAATATTTTAAATCAGTTATTCGTAATCAGTTATCCAGACATTATTTGTCAACAAACAAAATAATGAATATCAATTTTTACATATCAACTCTATTACGCACTATAACAGCAACAAATGAAAAATGCAAAACTAAATAGAACTGTCACTGTCCAAGCTCAGAGATCCTCAGTATGAAAATAAAATGAGCCGCGTCACGACAAAACCAACATAATGCGTTTGTGACCAGCATGGATCCAGACCAGTCTGCACATCCGCACAGTCTGATCAGGATCCATGCTGTTGGCTTACCAACCCTGACACAAGTAGAGAAACTGATAGCAAACAGCATGGATCCTGATCAGACTGCGCAGATGCGCAGGCTGGTCTGGATCTGTGCTGATCGCAAACACATTATGTTGGTTTTGTCGTGACGCGGCTCAAATGTGTTTTTTTGACATATTCAAAATTTGTTTCAGGAAATGTATGATACAAATGCATGATTTATCTGTAGAATTACTAATTCCATGAAAATTTCTAATTTAACAGATATTGGGTATTCTTTTTACTTTTCACAGGTTTTGTATGGCACACATATTGATCAAGGCACTGAAGGAATGTTGATCCAACACTTAATTGTTAAATTTTAGCATTTTTATATATCGAATTCCCTTAAATATCTGATGAACTGATTCAAATTATAGGCAGGACAAATCTTTTATGTAAATTCAGGGATGGACAACTCAAACTTCTGTAGGAATAATTTATACTTGTTTTAACGTATGAATATTATATCATTAACTTATGAATTCTAAAGCAATGTAATGAAAAATCATAAAATATTTATTTTACGCAAGAGCATTCTATAGTCAATATGCAGATGTGAGTTTCATTACCATCTATATGACCAACATGTTATAAATAAATAATTGAAAATCAAGTCCTGAGAACCTGTACATAAACATTCTGAAAAAAAAAAAAATGTACAATATATTTAAACAGAGATAAAATCGGATATAGGAAAAGATTGATAACACATGTTAAATTTTATCAAAAATGATATTTCAGTACTGACAGTAAATTCAATACAGGTAACACCAAAACATTTCTCTTGTTATTTTTAGTGAATATTGTATTGCATAATAATGTTTATTCTTATTTTAAACATAATTGCTAATAAAGTCTTGCATTTATATTTTGATAAATAGGATCATATGTTCAAAGGATGAAGTGTCAAAGGATTGTATTTCATATGCCATAAAGAAAGAGTTACAACCATTTTACACCAAGCCCTCGAATTTTTAAAGGCACATTATGCTTCAGAAATATTTTTTTTTAACTTCTTTAGAAAGGGCTAACATGAATTTTATAATGTTTAAATAATGGTATAACAGATTGCTAGAAGCTTGTTTCCTTAAGAAATTAGTGATAAATGTGAAATAATTTGTCATATAAGAAGCAAAATGTAAACAAAGTACTTGTAGCATTTTGACCTCCATACAAAATACTATTTCACTATAACTGTACTTATTGGCAAAAAGCAACAGATGAAAATGATGGTTCAGGCAATTGGCCAATGAGTAATTTTTATACACTTAATATAAAGCACACCAAAATTAAATATTTTGATCCCTAACTTCCATGTGTATACTATGACATAACAGTTGTTTTCTGAACTTACATTTCGGCAGTTTATGATGTATGACTAGAAACTAATTGACATCAGCCAAAGTTGGACAGTAAGAGGTTACCGTAACTACCTTTAACATTTCTAATTAATGCAATAAAATGATTCATCTTCATCACATAATAATACACAAAGATAAACGACATGCAATTTGAGCACAATTGTTACAATAAGGAATAGCAAAATTGTAACATTTCAGGAATAATCATAAAAGTTGTTTTAATATTAACAGTTTAAGTATGTTCAGTTTCGCATGATATATACATAATATAATATAGTATCTACAAATAAAGTAAACATAAGTGCACTGTTTTAATCATACGTTAATTATTCATACATTGTATATTGAATCACAGAATGGCAACATAAGGTATGGTGTGAGCCTTTATCAAACAATTTAAATTGAAGTGTTATTTCTAGGCTGCAGTGTTTTAAAAAGGGAAAAAAAATGTGATTGTATAGTTTGGTCAAATATTTAAGAAACTAACACAGTTTAATGACTTTGTATCATAGTATGTATCACTCAGCAGAAGTTGCATTTTGATATACCAATATATCAGTATATTTTTGCACCACTAAAAATATATTTTAAATATCACATTTGTTTATCTTAACCAATAATGGATAATAACTAACAACGACAGCTATGGTCAGGATTCTACTTTGTTATGATAAATTTTGTTATGAAAGAGTTCAGCCTCCTGTTTCAGATCAGCCATCTGATTTTGTATAGTGTCTGTTAGATGTTTTCTGATTTCCTCCTGCAAAAAGTATAAATAGAAAATATGGCACATGGATTTTAAAATGTTTGAAAAGGCACATTTTCATAACTTGTTGTTGGATGTAAGCAATGATGAAAAAACTGATAATTTATACAAATGTTTTCCTTCTAAATCTATAAAATCAACTTTTAACTTTCAAATCTGTAAACAAACTTCTGAATATACATGTAAACTTCTTAATTTCAAATCAAATTTCAAATGTAATACAGATTTGAAACTGTCCACAGATATTTTTTCAAACTCATATCAAAATAATGATTTATGTATCCAAAGCACACAAATTGCAGAATGGCCTAGCTTAATGAAGATTTCGTCAGCCTGTAGTTTCATTGAGTATCAAAAGGGGCATAAATATGTAAATAAGTAAATCAGAGTTATGGGACCTGTGCCAATCATGTTAAAAAATCACAGTGAAAATGTTTTCATTCCCTTCAGTAGTTAGGGAGATACCAGCTTACATGCAAAAAGTTAACCATGAATTTCATTGAGTATAAAAAGGGGCATAAATTTGGAAATAAGCAAATCAGAGCTGTCCGATGACAGCATGCTCAACAATTAGAACAGTTATCAAAATAATGGCATTGGACTAATGGAAAAGACAGGGATTGAAAATACAGGTCTACCTTTTGACAGACCACACTCTACCTGTGTACTAGCCCGGCTGGTTTTGAACCCACACCACAAGCAATCCTTGGATTACTAGTTTGATGCGTTAACCACTCTGCCACGTACACTGTTGGTACCTCCACGTTTGTATTTCAAGAAATCCCATACACTTTGACTGCTCCAGAGTCAAAGCAGGGCAAATCCATTCCACAAATTATTAAATACTAAAAAACATTTACTAAGCTAGAAACAGTATAGAGTCTGGACATACATGCTGGCCTGGCTCTCTACTGGTGGCAAAGGCTTACTAGTCAGTAAAAAATCATTTCTGAAACAAAAATGGCAAAGTTTTATAACTTTCAAACTATTACAACCATAGTTTACCTGAGTTTTCTTGGTTTGTTTGAGCAATGTTACTTCCTGAGTGAAGTCTATAGGTTCACTTATGTATATTGATGATTTCTTTCCAACACGTGGGTACAGTATACCTTCATTTGGGAAGATCTTTTCAAAACCTGGAGTAAAAATTATATTATGGTTTTATCTCAAAGACATTAAACTCTGTTGAAACACAAACAATAACAAGTCACAGGATACATGTACAGGTATTGTCGTAAAACCAGGCTTTCTGCAGATAATATATATGTTAAAAATAATAAAGGGCCATAACTCTGCAAAACATTATCAAATCACAACACTCTCGACAATATGCACAAGGGCATTTTAAGTGACAATAACTCTATGACAGTTTCAATGAAATCCCTTTAAAAATATTATGCTTGCCTGCCCAGGCAGCCCACTGGCATTCACCAACCTGATAAAAAAAAGTTCTTTATAAAACGTGGTTTACAAATTGCCTCTTTATAGGTAAATATACAACAGCTCTGGAACATCAGAGAGTCATCACAACATTATGTGAAAAAATGTGTATAATACGTATAGTATTCATGTAAAAACACTTAAAAACAAAATTATACATAAGATCTTACATGTCCGAAGAGTCATTTCAGATAGACAAAATACGATTATACCCCTTTACTTATATTGTATACTTTTATACTAAGTGATTGAGCTATCTGATGAAAGATTATACAAAACATTTATCCATTCAAGATTGATATCCCTTTCATTACAAGCAGACTGAAAAGGCTGTGTCAACCAATGTGTCTCATTCACATATTTTACTTATATCAAAATACAAAATGTAATAACCAAAATTACTGCTTATATTTGATAGGGTCCATGGGTACTTGCATCTGGCAAACATTTTGTCTTATCTATCTGCATTCAAATGTAACAACTCCTTAATATATTCAGAAAAGATACCAAATGACTTTGCAAATTATGCTTTACTTGTTTTCTAAAAGGCACCTGGGTAGAACCACCAGCCTTGTGTAAGCTATATTGCTTGATACCTTCCTCTCTCAAAGGAATCCAAAGACCCTGTTAGGATTCACACCTACAGTGGTGAGGAGCAAACGATATCAAGTTGGCAACCATAACCATTGATGGTTCCATGATAACTACCATATGAACACATCATTTTCATGTTTAAATGTAAAATTCTGCTTAAGCCAATGCTAGGGGGCATGGAAGGTAACGGTAGTTTGTACTTTCCGGTACTGTCCATGAACAGGCTCAATTAAAGGGAGCCTGCAACATTTTCAATTCTGCCATTTATGACAGTTTTTAGGAATACTTTTTCTCTCTCTTTTTCGACCAATTGGCCAAAGAGGCAATTTTTTGTCCAGAGATATGTAGGACTACAACTCTGGAATGATGAAGATAATATGACCAAGATTAAAGTTGCCCCCCCCCCCCCAAGTTACTGACAGAAAGATAAGACATAAACAAAACACTAGCTATAGTATTAGAATTGCTTTTCTTTAATTATTGAAACATCTGATAAAGAATACATACCAACATGGTGGATGAGCAAGACAAGGGGTGTCACAGGTGTATCAGCTATCAATCTACCAACACCTGTAATAAAATATTACTTTTAAATTGTTTTATTAAGTATAGATGCCAATCCTCAGAACTGAACCAATAACCTGCTTAAACCAAAAAAAATTATCCTTGGCCACAATCTGTGTGGTCAGACCAGGCTCTATTCTGTTCACAGTTGGCTGACTAGTTTTCATCAAGCTACATGTATCCCCCAATCTGATAATGGAAAGTTCTAAAAATAAGAAGATGGATAAGTCCATTTACAAAATTCAGCAGGTAAAAGGTAACAGGAAGTCTTTATTGACAGTTGGTCTCATGAAAAAGGAAAACTTAACACTCCATAACTTCAGATGGAAAATACACAATGGTCTTTAAAGGGTGTTTAAAGCTATTACAAACTAGGCAAAATTCAAGTATGCTATAGACCCTTTCATTTAAGACCGTATTCAAGTTGTCGCCCTTGGATGACGTCATCGGGGGATACGGTGGACAATGCCGATTTAAGTACAATAATAGAGGGATATAAAGATCTTAATCCTTTCTCTTGTAAGATTGGCAGATTGAAATTGCCAAAATTTTGTGTAATTGAATAAGATATTACATAAAAAGGATGGTGAAATGAATAAAAATGTTTACTATAATAAGGTTAACAATTTGTTTTTATAGTAGACCATATTCCTGGGTAACTGATCATCATTACCATTTTTGTTAGATTCTTAAATAATCATAATTGAACGATCAGTATTTACACATTTAACTTTTCAATAAGCTAAGCATGCATAGTTTTATCCCCCATTTACGTCACATCCGGTAAGGGAAGTAACTCTTCCCTGACTGTTACCGCTTAAATGAAAGGGTCTTTGTATTACTCATCAAAAAGATCAATTAACTTCGACATGTCAAGCTTTCAACTTTTATTATTCAATTTTGAAGTGTATCTGTGTTGTGTATCATAGTAATTTATTTCAACTGACTGCACACACATGTACATGTATGTCAATTTTATTGCTAAAAATTAGCCTTAAACTATTTCAAATTTTCTTCCCTTTTCCTGGTACAGGTCTGCCAAATATATGAAGTTTTATTCATTAATAATGACTATATTTATGTAAATCATAATGTTAACTTATAAAGCTCAACTTGGTTATACAAATTCATTGAAGTGTGACAAAATTGAAATTACATCAAGTTCTTTCTTCCCCTTTTGCAAATAAACCGTGTGATTTTTCCCTAAAATTAAGGACAGGGCTGCTTCCCCAACCTGTTCAAAAAAGGCCTGCACTTATCCATCTTTCAATCTGGACAAAACTATTAATAATTTTTAAAGAAATGTTCAAAAATGTCCTGATTGAATAATTAACACAGTAGATCATGATCAGATGGTACAATGATGACACTGCACTGTCACATGGGTAGATACAACTGCCAAACTAAGTGTTAAAACATTCATACAGTATATGCATGAAACTTTCTCAAAAAAAAATCTTTCTGATTGACAATAATTGTCCTACTTCTCCAGTTTGTGAGATGGAACCGGCATCTTTGCCTCTCTTATTATCAAAGGTCTACCCTCTTGGTAATTAACAGAGTGATAGACATATCAGCAGTTTTTTGTGACAAGTGATAGGTAATTTTTATGGATAATAAGTTTTAACAAAGATCAAATCATTGATAACAATTTCAATCATTTCAAAAATTTCTCACTTTCCTCAAAAATTGAAAAAACAAGATATGTTTGTAAAACATGTATGCCCCCTATCAGCAGCCAATTAGTCATGTGATAAGGTTATTATGACTTCTGACCAAGTGATCAAACAATTAATAAGGGTTATCAAGTATCTACTGGTCATGACCTTAACCTTTGACCCCTTGACCCAAAACTCAATAGGGGTCATCTGCTGGTCACGACCAATCATCATACAAAGTTTGAAGTTCCTAGGCCTAAGCGTTTTAGTAAATTGATCGGAAACCGTTTTAACATACAAGATCAATGTGACCTTGACCTTTGACCCTTGACCCAAAATCAATAGGTCATCTGCTGGTCATGACCAATCACCATACCATGTTTGAAGTTCCTAGGCCAAAGGGTTCTTAAGTTATTGATTTGAAAGCATTTTTACCTACAAGGTCAATGTGACCTTGCCCTTTGACCCCTTAACCCCAATATCAATAGGGGTCATCTACTGGTCATGACCAATAATCATACCAAGTTTGAAGTTCCTAGGCCTAAGGGTTCTTTAGTTATTGATCGGAAACCGTTTTTACCTAAGAGGTCAATGTGACCTTGACCTTTGACCCTTGACCCAAAGTCAATAGGGGTCATCTTCTGATCATGACCAATCACCATATCAAGTTTGAAGTCCCTAGGCCTAAGGGTTCTTTCGTTATTGATCGGAAACCGTTTTTACCTACAAGGTCAATGTGACCTTGACCTTTGACCCCTTAACCCCAAAATCAATAGGGTCATCTGCTGGTCATGACCAATCACCATACCAAGTTTGAAGTTCCTAGGCATAAGGGTTCTTTAGTTATTGATCGGAAACCGTTTTTACCTACAAAGTCAATGTGACCTTGACCTTTGACCCTTAATCCCAAAATCAATAGGGGTCATCTGCTGGTCATGACCAATCACCATACAAGTTTGAAGTTCCTAGGCCTAAGGGTTCTTTCGTTATTGATCGGAAATCGTTTTTACCTACAAGGTCAATGTGACCTTGACCTTTGACCCCTTGACCCCAAAATCAATAGGGGTCATCTACTGATCATGACCAATCACCATACCAAGTTTGAAGTTCCTAAGCCTTAAAGTTCTTTAGTTATTGATCGGAAACCGTTTTTGCTTACAAGGTCAATGTGACCTTGACCTTTGACCCCTTGACCCCAAAATCAATAGGGATCATCTACTGATCATGACAAATCACCATATCAAGTTTGAAGTTCCTAGGCCTTAAGGTTCTTTAGTTATTGATCGGAAACCGTTTTTGCTTACAAGGTCAATGTGACCTTGACCTTTGACCCCTTGACCCCAAAATCAATAGGGGTCATCTACTGGTCATGACCAATCACCATACCAAGTTTGAAGTTCCTAGGCCTAATGGTTCTTTAGTTATCACTCGGAAACCATTTGGTCTACGGACCGTCGGACCGACGGACCGACAAGTGCAAAGCAATATACCCCCTTTTCTTCGAAATGGGGGCATAAAAATCTGGATCTGTGCCAATCATAGACAGACCATTTGCCAATAAATATTTCCATATAATATAAGAATCAAATGTAAAATTTCAGAAAATTAAGAATATCTAATTTTCTTCTTGCAGTCTTCAATACATGTTTAATTGGATGCATGGCTGACTGGTTAACACACAAGACTAGTAATTTAAGGTTTGCTTAGGGCATTGGTTCAAACCCTGTCATAGGCAAACCATTGTTTCCTTGGCTTAGGCAAGAAACTCATTTATTATTAGTACTAGTTGGTTCCAGGAACCGATTCCAAAGTACATGTATGTTTCTAAAGGTTATAGCTTCCTACACAATCAAATAGTATAGATTTTTTTGTTGTTGTTGTTTTTTGTTTTACTGTGCACTAACACAATTTTTGTCATATGGTGCCGAAACAGATGGCTTTGATTAGCATCCAGTGTTACAAGCTTAAAGCAACACAGGGGTCACCTTGATGGAGCTAAGAGGCCATTAGACTCCAGAAATAATAATTCAAACCAATTTAGCCGTCACTAACGATCACGATAAACGGTGGCTTTAACTCTGATGCCTAAACACTTAAACTAAAAGGCAACCCCTCAGCCACATGGGGGATCAATTTTTCAAACTTTTAAAAGAAGAATGGTTTCGAGTGACAGGGAATAAACTGAGCCCATATATTTCAAGGGTTCAAATCAAGACAGACAAAACTCATTCATTATTAATCAGATGATAATGAAAACGAACCATTCAATTCGGAAAATGTCAGGAATAAACTTACCCCACTTCAGTCTCATGGCTTTCTGTTCTAGATTTATTTTACCTGTAAAACAATGTAAAAGAATAGCGAAATTTCTCTTATACTAAGCGAATGTACAATTTTAGTTTCTGTGAACTAAATTTAAATTTCTTCATTATAAGTACATGTATGTCAATCTTTAAAAGTAAATACATAACAAAATCTGCCATACCAGACTAACAGGCCAGACTGTTTTTAGTGTTTGATGAGACATGCAGAAATGTATTTTATTCCACTAAAAGGAATGATTTCATGAAAGCTCATGCTACAGTTACTGGTGCTTGATAGTAACCTACAATTATGACTCTAAAATCATGACTTAAGATTTTATTAGTTATAAAGATTTTTGATAGGTTATATGGCCCTATATAAATGGTTGTTTGGAAATATTGCAAACAACTATTTATATACAGTCATATAACCTGTCAGAATTATTTGTAACAAAGTTATAATATGTACAGCAAGCATTTTTTTGAGTAAAAAGTGAGATTTCTTTATAAATTGACAACAGCTGTGTATATAAATCTATATAAATGTCACTATTATCCTATGAAAAGCAATGTTACGTAACAACATGCAGTATTATGAAATTGAATATACACTAGATGTAAAATAGAACCTGTGTGCATTTTAAAATTTCATATAATTCATTGAAATATAAACTAAACTTAAGAGTTGTTGAAGGTATTTGAAATGATGATCAGAAGATATGTGAGAAGTTGCATGTGAATACATTCAGTAGTATGAAGTTGAGCATAAACCCTAAAACTAATGCATGTGTGTGTAGAATGACTACTATTCAATGAAAAGCGAAATTCAGTATCATAAGAATACATATAAATGTATAATATTTAGACAATATTCTCAGGAACATACATAGGCATAATTCACTTTGCCCACCTTCTTAGCTCAATAGGGAGAGCATCAGATTTGTAATACAGATATCACTAGTGTGATCCTCATTAGGGTTGGACACCGGTTCCCGGTATCGGTCCTATACCGAATAGTAACTTCGTAAATTACCGGTATATACCGTTTCGTAAAATACCGGTACTGGATTTGATACTTTTGTAATTTTGTAAAAAAAAAAATTTAATAGTCAATATGTCAAAAAAATGAGAAGATATTTTTAAATAAAAACAACCTACAAACACGTAAAAACAAACTATGAAAGTATTGTGCCGCTTATGTTTAAGATAATAATATTTTTGTACTCGGCAGGAAAATATAATTATTTGAACTGATTTTGCTAAAAGTTTGTAGGTTTTAAATGTCAAAGAAACCACGAGAAAACAAATCAAATACTTGAGTAATCATCGGCACATCGCACACAATCCTTCCAAACACATCGCACACAGCTTTTGCCGTAATGACAATGTAAATCCAACATATGACAATTGTTTATTCAAACAATGCTTTTAAAAAATAATTAAATCCTTTTGTTAGTTTAAGTGTCTAAACACTCATAATGAATACATATTTAATGTTTCCAGGTTCTTTTCATCCATTACCACATGTACAAATCCACACGTGAATTACGATTTTAACATAAATGAGGCCGAAATATTCCAACAAAATATGCCTCCTTTTTGTTTTTCGTGTAACACTGAACTATTATTAAACATGTATACATTTTCTTAACAAAAGAATGCTGACAGAACTTCAATTCAAAAAGTGTTGAATGTCGGCGGCTCTTTGATGGTGATAGAGTAACAACATCAAAGGGAGGCATATTCTTTTGAATAGCCTATTATGCACCTGTCAAAGGTCAACTTGTGTGTATTACACATTTAGATCTGTGATACTTTAAACAACTGAAACATATTTCATATAGTGTTTTGGGAGGATACTAATCGACGGTCTCCGGTCTCCGGTCTTCGACGGTCCCCGGTCTCCAAAGACCGTCGAAGGCCGTCAATTGTACGAGACCGTCGATTAGTCAGTTATAACACAAATCGACGGTCTCCAGATTATATACGAAATTAGACAGAATGACCAATAGGCAATAACACTTTTTAGTGACTTATGTCAATAGTTTAGAGTGATTAACGGATATTTTTGATGAAAAAAATAGAGTAATAATAAAAAAATTGAAATTTTCAATGGTTTATTAAAAATATTTATAGAATTTAGATGTTTGTGTTTGTTTCAGTTGTAATTCAACAATGATCAGTTAATTGTCTTTAATGAATTATAAATACATTTTTGACTTAAGATATGTAAAAATATTCACAACAAAAGACCGTCGGACGTAGAACCGTCGATTATTTAGGTTATTATACGAGATTTATTACATAATTGGAATTGCGAAATAGGATAAAATGTGGTCAATAAGCATTTTTTTCTAAAAAATAAAATAATCGTTAACATAAAAATGTTTTTTTTGTTTTTTCTCCGTGGGGAAATATAATTTGTTGAGAGCGTTCAGTTATTACATTTCGTCAATTATGAAATCAATTTTATGGAATAATGAAAAAAGAGAGAATATTTTATAATAAATTGGC